GAGAGAATTATGCACCAGAAGTTGTGGCACTAATAACAATCATCATTGTGAGGTAATATTGATAGCATGATGCCCTGAGGTTCCCAATTGCTTCCACACCTTCCCAGTAAGTGATGTGGGCCTGGAGGACAATGGGTGGCTGGGAACAAAGGACCCACTGACGTGTGAACCATGTTTTAAAAGCAAAACTCTGCATTGTGAGTGCCAGCTCCAGTGCAATAAAGTGTTCCAGGGCTGGAGATGGATGAATAGAAACGTATGGTGCAAATTAAATGGGCTATTCTTTTCCCTCTTTCGTTCCTTGCGAGTTTAAAAGCCCAACACCTTGGTTTCTTCTTAATTTTATTTCCTTCCAAGGGTTTTGCTACCAAACAAATGACTGAGCAGCTTTGTCTGGTGAGCTGTAGGAGAATTAATAGGGATTGAAAGGATGTGGAGGCAGATGGGGGGAAAATGTGGTTTCTTATTTTCCTCTTATTTCTTCTAGAAAGAGGAAGCAATTATGGAAGGGAAAGGGAAAATTCTAGCACAGGGAATATAGGATAATGCAGAAAATCCCTTGTTCACCACTAGGAGATATTAGTTCCTGCAAGAATATGGGATGAATTGCCCACATGGCTTCAGGCTTCTAATTTCAGGTGCTTCAAAGAGTCCTGGGTGAAAGAAAGGCTCCTCCAGACAGCAATTCCGAGGAGGAACACAGTGAACATCTCAGTGCACAACCGGGGAGGGACCCTGGCAGCACAGGAGGGCACTTCAGCATCCGCCAGAGCTCTTCAGAGCATGTGAAGCACAAAATCAGCTGCACCAGAAACTTCCCCAAGTTCCCCTCGGGATCTCCCCCTTCTCACTCATCCACCAGGTTCATCTGGCTCACAGCTCAGGCTGCTCTCCAAGGAGTGACAGCTCTTGCCATAAGGAGCCTCTGAGCAGAACACTCATCCAGATGAGGTGGAAAAGGGCTGTCAACCCCCCAAAAAAACCCCTAAACCAAACACATTTGCTCTAAGGCAGAGAGAGCCCACAGGCTGAACTGATGCCAAGGGGTGAGTGCCACCAGGCTCGGGGTGCATTGTGTCCTCAGCAGGCAGTGACAGCACCAGGGAAGGTGCCAGTGACTCAGTGTCCCTTTATTCTGGTCCCACTCCCCTCAGGGGAAGACTCAGTTGCTGCTCACTGCCACATGCTCCTTTTGCTGCCTTTAACTGGTCTGTTGGCTTTTCCCTTTCTCTCTCCTCTTTTTTTTTTTTTTTTTTTTTTTTTTTTTTTTTTTTTGGATCTGATCCTAACCTACGGTGCTTTAAAACTCTCCAGGAAGCTCTAGGGAGACAACCCACGTTGACACCATCCCTGCTGAGCTATGAGATGTGGCTTTTTGCTATTTTCTCTCCTTCCCTTTCTTCAGCTGAGCTCTTTTGGAGCAAACTGCTCATCCTCATCCTCACTTCCCACTCTCCTTTCTGCTCTTTTTGCCCCTCTCTTATCTTGGACACTCTGTGGCCACCCAGAAGAGTTCTGCCTCCTCCCCATCCTGCCCCAATCCGTGGATCCTGTCCTTCCATGCCTGTCTGCCTCTCTGTGCCCAGAATCTGCCTGGCTGCCTCAAATTGCCTCTCTCCATCACCTCGCTCCACATCTCCCTCCTCCCTTGGCTTCCGGCTCCCCTCTCTCCTCCTCCTCTTCCCACGCACCTCGCTTTAATTAGAAATACAAAGAAAATGCTTATCACACACGTCTTAATCAGCAACTCGTTCCCCAGCAGGTCCAGAAGGAAAACCCCCATTCGTCCTCGCTTCTTCCACCTCCCCCACCACCTCCACAGAATTAGGAGGAGAGTGATTAGGGGGAGAGCTCTGTGAAAGGAGGCTGAATGCGATTAACCCAGAGACCTGGAAAAGCTGGAGGGAAGAGCCAAGAGAAATGTGGTGATGTTCAGCAAGGGCTAATTCTGGAATTTCTGGGGGGAAAAGAGTCCCTGGCAGCAACAGACTGGGAGAACTGGACCTGGGAGTGCTCAGCAGGCTGAGGAATATGCAGCAGCATGTCTTGGTAGCAAAATAATTATCCTGGATTGTGGGGGCATAAATACAGCCAGGAGATCGTGGAGGTGATTATCCCCCTCCAGTCAGAGCATTTTAGATCATATTTAGCTGCTGCATGATGTTTGGCCCTCTTAATACACAACACTGATCGCAGGGAATGAGTTCAGGCCACTGGGATGGTCAGAGCTGGTGCCTGGTGTGGGATTAGACACCAGAGAAGTGATGGATTTGAGGGATCCAACAGCAGTGTCCTGTCCCTGTGGGGAGTTATCAAGGAGACAGAACAAGGATCTTCTGGTGGCTGGTGAGAGGACAAGGGACAGCAGGTCCAAATTCCAACAGGACACTCAGTTTGGGTACAAGGAGAAAGGTTTTCCCTCAGAGCAATCGCCATCCCTGGGGTTTTCAGAGCCTGAAACCAGCTCAGCTGACCCAGCAGCTGACTCAGCTCAGAGTAGGAGGCTGAGTTAGAAACCTCCTGAGTCCCCTTCATCCTTAATAATCCTGAGATCCTGTGCTGAGTGTCAAATGAGGCCGTTCAAATCCAGGATTCCCCCCCAGCTGGAAAGCAAGGGAGGAACAAAGAGAGGCAGCAGGGCCCAGAAAGGGACCAATTTATTGGAGCAGGTTTAGGAGCCATTTCACCCCAGACTCCGGCATTTGATGGGACAAGGAGAGGCTGAATGCAGGTCATCCTGCAGAGTTAATGCACTTTATATTGTCCCCATCCTATGGGTCATTTCTAGGGTTCCTAGGTGAAAACCTCTCCAGGGAATATCTTTGCACCAGTCCAGAGGTACAAAGGTTGCAGAGTCTCTCCCAGTCCATGTTATCTTTTCCTGGCAGTTTTGAGGCAGATTCTGGGGTGCTGAGACCGCAGCATAAAAGTCTCCAGATCTCTCCCAACCCCTCAGATAATTGACGTTTGACTTCTTCTGAACACAAACACAGCTGCCCCAAATTCTTGTGTTTAGGAAAACTGGGTGAAATTGGAGAAGTAAGCAAGGCAGAGGGTAGTCAGAAGTGGCACTGGGAGGGGCTGCTGGATTAGGAATTCTGTGTTACACCCTCAGGGTTTTGTCCCCTTCCCCACTCACTGTCCAACCCTCCTTTCAACTAAACCATGCAGCCCTTCTAGGTCAGCTGCTGCTGCCCTAAGTAACACTCTTGTTCCCTGAGAGCCACAACCTGCTAGGGAACAGACACAGGCCCTCCTGCACCACACAGATTTGAGGGGAAAAAAGGGAATTCTGACTCCTGCCCCTCACGCCTTTCAATTATCCACCACCAGTTTGTGATTCTGCTTTAACCTGGGCTCACCAGGACCTCCTTCCAGCAGGGCTTCACTGAAACACCCTCTGCCTCCTCCTCTTTTTGCTCCTCTGCAATGGCTGAATTCCCACCAGGAACCACCGAGCCAGGAGCTTTGGGAATGACGACTCACCCCCAGCCTCGCTGGCACCCTGCCCACCACCCCGAGCACAGGCAGGGCACCCCCCCAGCACCACCCCACTGCCAGCAGGCTCAAACCCCCTTTTTAGATTATCCCGATGGATCAGCATCCCACTGCCTCCAGCCACTGGCACTGGGAAGGGACGAGAAGGCCCAGATGTCCTCAGCACCTCTCCGAGGGTGTTCCGGCGGGGAAACTCTCTCGGATTAGGGAATCCTTTATCTCTGGCTTATGTAAGACCCGGAGACTCCTTTTATGGTTGGTTTTTCCTGCCTTGTCAAGAGCGAAGAACAAATGTAGCTTCATCTGCACTGGTGGGCTGGCTCACTGATTAAGCATCTGATTCAAAGCTAAGTACAGAACAGGCTTTTGATGGGCGGATTTAATTCGGTGTAAAAACCAGGATGTTGTCCCCCTCCCTCACCCAATATTCCCAAGATAGTGGTTGGTCTGGTGCGAATAAGCCGCAGGGATGACTCCCACCTACCAATGCCTGAGAAAGTCCAGAACGCTCCAATTTGTGCTGAAGTGGCTCCTTTGAGTGTTCCCCCCTCTGCATCCCCCCTCCTCTTTGCTTTTCCTTTCTCTTCTCTCCTTTTTTTTTTTTTTTTTTCGCGCTGCTGATTTACCACAATTCCCAGGCATTTGCATGAGCAGTGAGCTCACCCTTGTGTGTGTGTGTGTGAGCGCAGGGGTGTGCGGGGGGCCGGGGGCGTCTGACACACCGGATTCCTCCTCATCCCGCCCTCCCCGAGCCCTGCCAGGGGACGCATGTTAATGATGACCTTGCTGAGTAAAGAGTTGTGGAAGGAATAAGTGTTTTTCCTGCGCTCCGGGAGGCGGAAGGTGCGATTACTCATCCATCTCTCCAACTGTCTCCAGCACCTTTCAAGCGCTTCTCGCGTCGAGTCTGGGGGCGTGAGCGAGGGGGTGGCAAGCGAGGGGAGGCTGCCAAAATCTGGGTTGCCACAGTCACCGGCATCTCTTTTCCTCCAATGAACGCTGCGCTGAGAGTGCGAGAGGAGGCTGGGCACCACCCACATGTTGAGCTGCGTGGAGTATAAGTAGATGGAGGAGCCTGGACTAGTGGCAGTTCAGACAGGGAGGAGAAGCAGCTCTTTGCATCTCCAGTGAAAGCGGTTTTTGACTCACCTAGTTTGCCCGAGGAGAAATCACCCGGATTTTTGCTGCAGCTTCCAGCTTCTTTGTGCATCTCTGTGATTTCCTCCGGCGGGGACTTTGCGGCGTTCCAGATTCCCAGCGGGATTGGACATCCTATCCAACTCCTCTCCTTGTTCCTGGAGGATCCTGGTTCTCTCTGGGACTCCCCTGAACACGTGAGACCGGCGTTTCCAGCTTGGCACCGGGAGAAATTTGCCTACAACTCTCTCTGGGATCCACGTGGACCGACCAGCTCGCTCTGTGGTGATATCTGATTGGGTTGTGTTTGTGTCCAAAAGTCCTTGGAGGGGGGTTTAGAAGTCTCTGTGTGTCTTTCAGGAAGTGTTGTGGTGGGGATTTTTGGGATCCAGCTTTAGTGCCAGGGGCTTATAACCCAGTTCTTCCCGTGTTTGCCACTCACACGGTTGGAGTCATGCAGCTGGACAATGTCACCAGCGCGGGCGTCCACTCCTTCCAGGGGCACCGTGGAGTTGCCAACAAGCCCAATGTGATCCTGCAGATAGGGAAGTGCAGGGCAGAAATGCTGGAGCATGTCCGGAGGACCCACCGGCACCTCCTGACAGAGGTCTCCAAGCAGGTGGAGCGGGAGCTGAAGGGATTGCAGAAATCCGTGGGGAAGTTGGAGAACAACTTAGAGGACCACGTCCCAACTGAAAACCAGAGATGGAAGAAGTCCATCAAGGCCTGCCTGGCCAGGTGCCAGGAGACCATTGCCCACCTGGAGAGGTGGGTCAAGAGGGAGATGAATGTTTGGAAGGAGGTCTTTTTCCGCCTGGAAAAGTGGGCTGACCGCCTGGAGTCCATGGGAGGCAAATACTGCCCTGGGGAGCAGGGCAAGCAGACAGTGTCCGTCGGGGTGGGAGGTCCGGAGATAAGGCCAAGTGAGGGGGAGATTTATGATTATGCCCTGGACATGAGCCAGATGTATGCCCTGACCCCTCCTCCCGGGGAGGTGCCCAGCATCCCCCAGGGCCACGATTCCTACCAGTGGGTCTCCGTGTCGGAGGACGCTCCAGCCTCCCCGGTGGAAACCCAGGTATTTGAGGATCCCCGGGAGTTCTTGAGCCACTTGGAGGAATACTTAAAGCAGGTGGGTGGAACAGAGGAGTATTGGCTGTCTCAGATCCAAAACCACATGAACGGCCCAGCTAAAAAGTGGTGGGAGTACAAGCAGGACTCCGTCAAAAACTGGGTCGAGTTCAAGAAGGAGTTCCTGCAGTACAGCGAGGGAACTCTGACTAGGGATGCGATCAAAAGGGAGCTGGATTTGCCCCAGAAAGAGGGGGAGCCCCTGGATCAGTTCCTCTGGCGCAAGAGAGACCTGTACCAGACCCTCTATGTGGATGCAGATGAGGAGGAGATCATCCAGTACGTGGTAGGCACCCTCCAGCCCAAACTGAAGCGTTTCCTGAGCTACCCCCTGCCCAAGACCTTAGAGCAGCTGATCCAGAGGGGCAAGGAGGTCCAAGGCAACATGGAGCACTCTGAGGAGCCCAGTCCACAGAGGACTCCTGAGGTTCAGCCAGGAGACTCCGTGGAAACCGTGCCCCCCTCAACCACCGCCAGCCCCGTGCCTAGCAATGGGACTCAACCAGAGCCCCCCAGCCCCCCAGCCACTGTCATATGAGCTCCCCTGAGGGAGGTCTGGGTTCCGTGGAAGGGAGAAGGGGGCTTATTTAGGAAGCTTCTCCTTGGAGAGAAGTTCTGGCTGAGACGAGACCTGAGGAGTGCTCAGTCCAACAGCCCAGAGCAGAGGGATTGGCTTTGCTCCTTGGGGGAGGGAGGTGGTGAGGGAGAGGCACCCCAGGACGGGGCTGCCCCCCTCACCCAGGCCGTGCCATGCGGTGGTGCTGGGGACCCTGCTGGCACCACTGCGGGGAACAGCCAATTTTATGAGAATTCCCTGACAAGAAACTAGAGACAATTCCCAACTTGTGAAGCGGCCGCTCGGCACTGGCAGCTCTCAAGGACTTCATACGAGTGCAGCAGTTGGTGGAGGGTTCCTACCCATCTGGATCTCTCTTTTTCCTTCTCTACTCCCTCCTCCGAGAGGGTGGCCCTGTCCTGAGGAGACAGCTTTCTTTTTCACCCTTTCCTGTTTCTGATTAACCTCTGGGTTTCTGTTCACTTGGCAATCTCCTGCTCTTACTTGCTCCAAAGGATTAAAGTAATTTTTTTGATTATTTTTTTTATAAGATGAAAAAAAAATCCTATTATTTCAGGATCTGACAGCTTTAAGAATCATGATTATTTTCTGTGGTTTTCATTTCACTGCACCTAATACCTGCTTTAATGTGTATCCTCTCAAGAGGCTCTTACTGGTTTACTTCTTGTCTTAGTTTCTGCTCACTCTAGTTCAAGGCCACTGCAGTGCAGAGGCAGATTTCATCCTTTCTCTGCACATTATCCTGTGCATTCATCAGGAAACAGATTTTCTAATTAAATTCTGAGCTCATTTATTGAAGGAGCAGTCTCCTTCCTTTCAGAGAAGAGAGGGTGTTCAAGGTAGAGAGAGGAGACACCAGAGCTCTTTTGAGAGAGACTGGGGGGGAGGAAAGGGAAATAAATCCTTATTCTTTGAATGAAACAAACAAACACACCCTAAATTCAGAGCAAAATATCCCCAGAGCAGCAAATCGAGTCCATGCTGATGCGTGGAGACAACAGGAGCTTTTGCCATGTAAAAGCCAAAAGAAGTGAAGAGAGAATCTGTGTGCCCCAGCACAGTTTTAACCTGTGCATCGCTGCAAGGAGTTTCTGCTCACACAGACAGACTCCAAATGCTCCTGGAAGCCTGGCACCCCTGTCCTGGAGCACCTGAGGACAGAGTGTTGTCTGCTCACAGAGGAACTCCTGCAAGATCTCGCCATACATGGAGATGGACTTGGACTTTGTGACTTTTTCCATGTTGAGACGGGAAACGCTCAGCACTCACCTTTGGCCAGTGCTTGATGACAGGACTGAGAGAAGAAAGACATTCCTGAAGTTTGGCTCTCCAAAGCTTCCCAAGGCTGGACACACCTTGGGCATCACCTGCATCCACCACCAGACCAAATAAACAGCAGGGATGCAGCAGCAGGAGTGACCCTGGGATGCTCCTGGCACTGCCACAGTGGTGACATGTGGCCCTGGTGGCTCGGAAGGCCTTTGCTGTGACTCCTTCCAAGAGGCTGAAGGTAAGGCAGCTCTCTGGCATTCTTTCCTCAGAGGTGAACTGGTCATAGAATGTCCAGTAGAAACTGGGATCAAAAATCTCAGCAGAAATGGGATATGAAGCATTGGGGTTGGGAGAGCCAGCCCAAGGGAAATACAGGAATGGGAAAAGTTTCCAAAGAGGGCGGTATCCTGCACTTTCTCATTAATATGGGAAAAGAATGGGGAGATTCTTAATTAGCCCAGCCCCAGAACCTGCCTTGTCCTTCATGGAGAACCTCTGGGCTTGAGTCCCCACCTGAGGCAGCACATCCCAGGCCCATGCACAGCCTAGAGGAGCTGCAGGTCTGCTCTGCATCCTTGCTGGGAGCTGGTCTCAGGAATGGTGGGAGCTCTCCTCTCACTTGTTCCCAGTTTGTCAACAGCTCTGCGTGGAGGATTTCTCACTAATGACCCGGGCTGAGTGATGGGGGAGTGGGAGTCACTGCTGAGGATGAGCTGGCCGTGTATTACAAGCTTTGTCTCCTCTTGCTTCCAGTGACTCACTCAGATCCTCCTCTGAGAAGGAATCACTTCGCAGCATGCAGCATTTGGGAGGAAAGCCACAGAAAAAGCTGCATAACAAAGGCCTCAACATCAGACCTGCTCTCAGGACCTGCAGCCACCAATGGCCAGATCCACCACCTGAAGGAAAGACTGGCACAGGTAATTGCATCCCATATTGCCTTGTGGGTCTAACCCCAGTGCCCTGACCTGAGATATTGAACAGCCCAGGTGCAAACGCCTGTCCTGGTCTTGAAACCTCAGTCCCAGGGGCTGCAGCAGCCTGGCACCACCAGAGTGGTGGGATTTCAGCTCCTTGGTGTCAGAACCCAAGCACCAGCCCCAGTAATTGATGTCCCAGGGACTGCACATCGTGGCTTTCCCTTGGCTGGACCATGGACAAATCCATAAAACCCCAACACCTGGTGGGCCCTCCAGGCTGCAGGCACAGCAAAATTTAATCCCAGCTCCTGAGAATTTCCCCTTTCTCCCCACTTCAAAAATCTAATCAGAGTTGGTGCATTTTTTTTTCTTTTCCAGCAATCCCTGCTGCTGTTGCTGAGATTCCTTCTCTGTGTCCAAGAGCTTTCCCAGGGAAGAAGAAAGTGCTGCAGGAAGACAGAGGGCAAATCATGCACCAAAGAGCCTCCCATGCAGTGCAATGCAAACATTCAAGGTGCTGAGAGCCAGAATGAAACTGGGAAGCTGCTTCCAGCAGGACAAAGAAAATCCCGAGCTGGTCCAGGTACTCCAAGCACAGAAGAAAGTGCTGAGAGTGGAAAGAGAGGCCAGAACAGAAGAACCAAGTCCAGGCTTTGGGGACAGCAGGGATGCTGACTGTCTGTGGAGAGGATTCTGCACCTCTGCAGTCTGGGGCTGCTGGGACTCACCTAAAGAAATCTTCACTAGAAAATGATCTTCACTGAAAAAAAAAAACAAACAACAAACTTTCCTGATTAACTTTGCCAAGGGGCTGATCCTGCCTTGGCTAGGAACCCTCGCCGCTGGCCATGCTGTAACTCACCTCTCCTGAGTCGTTTCATGCGGGTATCAGTTCCAAACCTCAAAGGGCTCCCGGAGTTTGGAGAAGCATCCCACGGTCCAGATGCTTGTCTGAACTGTTGGAGCCTGCACATCTGGGCCAGCTGTCTTGCCAGCAAGGAGCCTTGTGAGACAGCAGGCGCTCTCTGGGTCTGCATGGGCCAGAGTTACTGCAAGAACTGGGGTTCTTGTGCTGGCTTTGGAGTGACTGTTTCCATCCAGACCCAGGGAGCCCAAAAAGAGCTGGACAAGACAGTTTTGGTTCATCTCTCAGCCGAAGAGGTCCAGTTGGTTCCTCTCTCTTCCAGAGCCAACTGTCCTGTGTGTGTGTGTGGGTGTGTGTGTTTCATTATGGGGTATGTGTGTGTGTTCAGCAAAAAAATCCACATTACTTAAATTCTGTGGTGTTTTGTTGCATTTGAATTAAGCCAGAGGGACCTAAGGCACATTCCAACAAGGCCCAGCAAAAATGTCCAGGACTGGAAAATTCCATAAAATCATGTAAAGGCAGATTCCCGGGCATCATCTTAAAGTCTAAATGATATTTGATTTTGAGGTGCTTAATTTCCACAGTCTCTTCCAAGGGACTGGACTGCCTCAATAGGCATTTTATTTCTCCTGCTTTTTTAGGGAATTATCCTGTCTGTGCTACTTGGTCATTTGGTCCTGAGTTTTTTACATTTTCAGCTGGCTTTTTGGAGTGTGCAGAACTGAATTTCCTGGACTGATTTGATTTCAGTTGTTGCTCCCAGCAAATTGGAGCTTTACTTGTAGCACCCTGGTTTTTATTACCAGCCTCTCCAGGAAGGACTGGTAGTTTATTTTCCTGGGGCAGAGTCACGTGAATGAGAAGTGTGGATGTGCTGTACCTGTGGAACTTTAGCAGATTTCAACCACTGCATTTTTTTCCTCCCTAGGCGATTTTGCATTTACTGATGAAACTACTTTAGAGTTTTTATTTTTACTAGAAATATTATTAATTCAAGCAACCTTGTGCAAAAGGCAAGCATGTCAAATCACTGCAGGTTGTAGGGGTTGAAGCCAAAAGGTCTTTGTAAGCCGACATCACCTGCCCTGGATCTGACTGGATCAGGCAGTTTATTCCTCATGTGTCATGTTGGAGTTACAAGATCACACCAAGCCACTAGAGCCTGCCAGTAGAATAGTGCTACACTCGATTTGCTATTGTAGCAAAGCCTTTTGTAGATTTATACAATAAAACTTTGAAATATCTGCTTCAATTGCTTCCTGCCTCGTTTTCTGGTCTTTCTTCCTTGGTTCGTGGGTGACTCAAGTATCTACTGCCCTCTGAAAGTTTGGGGTTATTGGGGTTACCTGGCTTATAAAAATCTTTTTTCTCAGCAAAAGCATGTGGTTGACATAAAAAATGAAAAGCACTGAGTTGTTCAGACCCTAAAACTGAGTCAGATGCAGCCCATGAGGTTGGGAGAAGTGGCCCTTTGTGGGACGGTGGATCCTGCAGGGCTCTTTTTGGGTACAGCTGGGAGAAGGACCTTTGAAATGAGAACAATGAGAACAATGTTTGAGAAATTCACAGAAGAACTAAGGCAAGACAGGGCAAGGTAAAGAAATTAAACCTCAGACAGCTCCATTTGACAACCAAAGAGCCTTTGTGAGTGATAAGCACCCTCACCCAGCAGAGACCCAGGAGTTGGGGCTTTTTTGTCTGATGCATTCTCAATTCCTTGGGTTCATTACCTCTAAAACATCTGGGGGTTATCCAGGCTGGAGTCAGGGAACACAGCAGGGAAAGGAGCTTAAAGTGTTTTAAACTGAAATGTTTATTTTTAGCAATAGATTGATTGGCCCCAAAGATGTTCAGCTGAAGGACTCTGCCTCTGCAGATCCTTTTCCAGAAAATCATTGCACTCAGACAGATTTAGCCCCATTCCCTGCTC